AGCGCCTTACCCCGCTAGAGGCTGACCTCAGGCGGCTGGAGGGGACAGAAGGGGTGAGATCTTCCAGTGCAACGTTAAGCGCAGCGCTGCAATGACGGGTCTGGGGACAGGGAGGGTAGAGGGGCCTGCAGCGGTGGGAGCACCCTAGCTGCGCAGCGTGTGGGGTCGGTGAATACCCCGAGGGCCCAGAGGCGCGGGCTGGGCACTCGGCCCCTCCCCCAGCGTCACTCTCATAACCCGGAGCACCGGGACCCTCTAACGTCAGCGCGGCCTGCGCATGCGCCGTCACTTCCGGTGGGCTGGGCCGGGGGGTGCACTCGTCAGGAGGGCGGTTCCATCAATTCCTCTTCCTAGCTACCGGGCGCGGGGGGGAGGGGGTCCGTATCTAAGCTCGGGTTCCAGGTCCAGGATCCGGGCTGCGTTCCCCAGGAGCTCGGGTGCGAGCTCGGTAAGCGTGCCTGGTCAGTGTGAAGCTGATTCCCCAGGGGAATCACGGTACCCAAAACTGGGAGGGGAGAGCGGGGTGGGGGGATATCGAAGCTGCCAAGGCCCCGACCTTCCGCGCGGAGTCTTGATGCTCCTGACAGGGAACACCACGAAACAGTTCTGCCTGACCCACTGATGAGTGCTCTGAGGGTTACCAAGGTCGGGTCGTTGCTACTTCCCACCGCTGGGCTTGACTCTCTACCCTGCTTAGAGGAAAAGCCTGAAGTGGATTGATTCCAGGGCTGCTTGTCTGGTAGCTCAGCGAAGCTAAGAAATTTCCTTCTTCAAAGGCCGATCTGATTTTCTTCCTCCTGGAATAGTTTTTGAAAGTATTAACTGTCTGCCCTGAAGGCACTGGGAGTGGCCCCACTGGCCAAGGAGCCAACCAGTCCAGGCAAAGGGCCCAGCACAGGCCTGGCATGTAGCAAGCACTCCACCCCAGTCACCCCAGCCTCTACCCTCTGTCCCCTGCAGGCAGGACAAGGAGACTCCACCAACCTGGTAGAGTTGGTTGCCCAGCTCTAGCCTCCCTCCTGCGCCAGCATCCTGAGATCTAGGGGCTCCAGCCTGAATCACTATGCCCAGTGCTCAGGCAGCAACAAGAATCCAGCCTTTGTGACAGGCTTATTTATCCCTGCCAGGCGATGCTTCCCTGGCTGGGGCAGGGAGCGGGTGGCTCCAGGAAGGGAGCGTATTTGGGTCATGCTGAGGATGTGGTCAGTGTGGCAAAGGTCCAAAGCTGAGTGATGACCTATGAGCTGGATGTTTTCAAATATGGGGGTCTGCTAAGTCAGCGGTCCCCAACCTTTTAGGCACCAGGGGCCAGTTTCATAGAAGACAATTTATCCACCAGCCAGGATTAGGGCGGGGGGGGG